CGTGTTGGGATTTGCTCTGACAGTCTTGTATTTGAGACTAATTTGGGACAGTAACCCATGCGCAGAGGAGCCCAGAGCGGGACCTCCGATCAGCGCGATCATGATTATGGTAGGCTACCTGCGCTCTTGTACAGACTGTCGCAATGACCATAAACGTACACCTTGAGATCTCAAAGCACATCGGTAAATGAAAGAACATTACGCATACACAAAGAAAAAGCACTGTGCATGGTATCTGAACAATGATGCGCGAGAGCGAAAACGACGAACTCTGTGAATGCACCTATGCGTAGAAACGCATCTGAATATGAATTGACAAACACATGTGTACTGTTCATGCAGTTATTGAGCGAACTCCCTTTATTACTAAAGCAAACGGAGTAAGAAGAGGTGCAGGTGAGTGACGCAAACTACTGACCAAAATAAGCGATAATTAGCCTGCATGAACTGCACGTACAATAACAGAAAAGGGTGAAAACCGGAACCGAAAGAACTTTAAGAGTAACAAAATTTCCCTTTCGTATAGATGGCTAAAACGGAAGCTAACATGATTTCTAACACATTTAATGCTGTCGATGTGCTGAACCCACGTAGAGCATGTTGTAGGCGATGTATATGCCTTCGTATTTACATATATATGGCTATTCAATACATCTCGCGATGGCAACATTAGTGAACAGATGAATATAGTTCTCTCTAGTGAAACATCTGTCCGCGTTCAAGGCAAGTTCACTTCCAAAGTGTTTATGGACTGAATAAATATCGTCTTACCTGTCTGTGAATAGGACAGGAGCAGTAGGAGAGAAAGGGGAGCCCAGTACTTCCAAAAAGAAGAAAATGCCATCATGTGTGTTATTCCGATCTCTCTGTTAATTCCTTTCCCTTTGATAGGAATTAGAATAACATGAGCGCGCAGGCTCTCACCTACGAGTTATGTCTTTTCTCAACTCCAGTGTTAGCTGGAATCGTTGTGTATTACATACTAGTACTCACACATGCACACTCAATCTGATACACTACTCTGAATGAAAGGTGGAAATGTAGCAGGGCAGGTTTTTCTTGGCCTCAGCCACAACCAATCGGATTTGACAATGACCGCGGCTCACACCAAATCATGGGCGGGGTAAAGTAGGCCTAAAATATTATAAAACAACCGTTTGTTTTTATCAAAAAGACAATGTGCTATACACTGAGTTCATAGCGCTATAACAGCTATTGGAACGAGTCCTAGCCTCCAAATGAACCGCT